CCCCAAAACCCCAAAACCCCAAAACCCCAAAACCCCTCTACATGGAATTCTGGTTGAAAAAGAATATGACCATCATTATCTAGGTAAGAATTCAAATTCTCTTTCTTTGGTATGATCTTCAATCATCTCATGCTCAAGGTTTTCTAGCTTGTTCTCTTCGGTTCTAGGCTTCATACAGAGTCTGATCCAGACAATCATCATTCCGATATGAACCATTGTTGCAGTAGCAACAAGGTAATCTGGTCTAATTGAAAGGAACAATTCAAATATTCAAAATAATGAGATCACATGCCTAGCTCTCCAATGACGAATACTTGGACTTCCAACTTCTATCAGAAATGGGAAACTGAATAGGAACCAGATGATGAACTGGAAGTGAATACCTCTTGACCATAGAATACCAGTGAAATTACAGATAAAGAACACCTCAGCAATAAATAGAGGATCTTGCTCCTTAAAACTGGGAAGGAATCTGAATGGCCATAAAGAAATCTCTTTAAAGACTTTCTTCAGAGTTGTCCACTTGAATAGCAAAAAGTAGAGCAAACTAAAGAGATGGATACTTAGGGTTACAGTCTTAAACCAGAAATTGTCTCCGAAATCTGTAGGGAGAAACTTGAAAGTGAAGCTATGTTGGAGAAGGAATCCTCTGGTCGTGTCAAATGCACTTGAAATATAACCATGTGCTGATACTTCTAAGAATGGAAGAGCAATAAGAATTTGGAAAGCAGCAATGAAGATCAAATACAACGTTCCAATGAGTATCCCTTCTGATCTCGAGGCTATGAAATAGATAGCTGGGAGATATAATCAAGCACTCATTTTGATTCCCAAAGAAAGTGAAAACATGAGCACTCCTGCAAAGTTTTGAGATTTCTGAAAAAGATAGACTCCGAGCAGAGAGAAGAATACGCAATAAAGATCATTAAAAAGCTTAACAATAGCAATGTTGTAGATAGTCCATGTAAAACAATGCAAAATAAGAATATTAGCTCTCTTTGGCTCCTTTTTAAAAGCCAATTGGGTAATCTTAATCATCAAATAAACACATCCTAAATAAGTAATAGCTGAAAAGCATTGTACAGGCCTAAAATACATCCCGTCATCTGACAAATATTGATAAAAGAACAGCAAAATGTATGTATGTAATGCTGGATACACAAGACCTCCTGCTCTACTTCCAATCTTATCATACTCTAGATTACCCCTAAGAATATTCTGCATGTGTTCATAATAGCAAGCAAAGTCTTGCTCCTCATAGGTGTTATATCCAAGAACGATAGTGGTCTTGATGAGTTCAATACCCATGATGACCATTGTGATGTTCTCAGGCTTGATCCACTCCTCAAGGGGTTGGTTCATCTTCTTACTCATTTTATCAGATAATTTCGCCAGGACTATAAAATATTAGAATCATTACAGATGGCTGAATGATGTCTATATATAAACATCAATAAGAAAGCTTAGAAGTAGAGATTGGCCTGATCTGGGCTAAAAGGTTTTGAAGGATAAGCTCGAGCAAAATATGACGTACTCTTCATCTTTTATTATTATTATTCAACTTTGCCAGAATACTATGGGGTTTTGGGGTTTTGGGGTTTTGGGGTTTTGGGG